AGCCTTATAACTGGGACAGAGACAGCCTTATAACTGGGACAGAGACAGCCTTATAACTGGGACAGAGACAGCCTTATAACTGGGACAGAGACAGTCTAATAACTGGGACAGAGACAGTCTAATAACTGGGACAGAGACAGTCTAATAACTGGGACAGAGAGTCTAATAACTGGGACAGAGACAGTCTAATAACTGGGACAGAGACAGTCTAATAACTGGGACAGAGACAGTCTAATAACTGGGACAGAGACCAGCAGGCTGAAACACTTTTTGTGACCATAAAGGATGTTAGAAAACCACTGTTTGTCTGAAGCCTCACCACACAGTATGATCCCCTGACCTTAGTCAAGTCTAAGAAAGTGCAGCATGATGGTCTGAGTCAACAACCTTTGTTCAGTGGAAACATTACATTGCTCTGTTGTTTCATACAGCCAGATAACATCAATATTATTTCAATCCTCACTGGTCTTCAGATCATCAGACTCAGCTTTAAAACTGAGACCCTGTGGACCAGTTTGGACCCCTGGGTTACAAACACAGGATCATGTAAGGGAGTTCTGAGAAAAACCCAGTGAATAATCTGGAGCTACTTGTGAGTTCATGTTTCATCAGATCTGATGCTTCTTTGTGTTGTGTGGTTTGTGTCTAATTTAGAAATGCTGATGATGTTCTCGTGCTCACAGCTTTGATTTAGCACCAACAAAATATTTTAACTCATTTAAACGTGGAGCAGCTCAGAGCTGTCGCAGCTGTTGGTCAGGGTTATWGTTGCAGATTAAAAATCAGCTACAAGGTGTGGAGGAACACCACCGTTTGGTTTCACAAACATCTACCTCACATATCCTGACTGTGCCTCCTCCCTGTTGAGCCTGTGGAAACACAGGTCAGTCAGCAGGAACATGGCTTCTCTCACAGATCTGCTGTCTGCCTGCCTCAGATGTTTCCACTGCAGCACTAAGTGTAACTGAACACACTCACTGTTGTGTTGGCAGGCGAGTGGCATGCATGGCCATGGAGAAGACCAAGCAGGAGCAACAGGCCAGCTGCACCTGGTTTGGCAAGAAGAAGAAGCAGTACAAAGATAAATATCTGGCAAAGCACAACGCAGGTACTGATTCACACACCTGCACAGAGTGCTGCATCCTGCAGACGTGTCAGTGCTGCTGAGCCTCTGTGTGTTCTTTAGAATGTGTAGACGGGTGTTAGTGGTACTGTGTAGATGACTGTAAGCAGATCCTGCAGCTCCAGTAGCACACACACACACAGCCAGGAGCTGCCAGCCCAGCAGAAACCTGATCTGAGTCCAGGACAGCAGGCTGTGAAGCTGGAGCAGAACATCTCTCTGAGTTTTACTTGGAGCTGTAACACACTCAGWTGGTTTGTTGGTGTTTTTTCTTGGTTGTGTAGAAACACCACATGGACTCCTAAACATATACTAATGAGGACATTTATTTCTTTAATCACTTGCCACTTACATTTTTAAATTTAAGCTACATTTTATGTAAAAAAAAAAATAGGATATGTGCTTCTTAACTTTCTTTTTGCACATTTTTCTCCCTCCCAAAGTTTAAATTCTATTAAAACTGTCAAAGTARTTTGAAAAAAAAAATAGATATGGGTTTTTTACGATGTAAAAATAAGTATTCAGTGCCATGTAGCATGGCTTTGCCTGCAGCAGTGGACTTGCAGAATGAAGTGTGACCAAGTTCAAAAGTGTTTTCTAATTATTATCAGTCAAACACCTGCCAAGTCAGCAGGTGTTTGTAATGAAGGTAATTGTGTGACAATATAACAATCTGAAAATATGTAGTTTTACTGAAATAGTTTGTTGCTAGCTGGGATTGAACCCTGATCTCCTGCATGAAAACCCACAGTTTTCACCATGAGACTATAGGAGCTGTGGCTGAGGACAATCCCAGGGGTTGGATTATATGTGTGCAGAAAGAGGCCACATTGCCAATGCAATCGTTGACATTCAATTGCAATATATTACAACAATAAAGCAATATTAGGAAAACACTATAGTAAAACATCAAAATACAAGCATATTAGTATTGTAACCACTGAACTACTGTGTTTAAATATCATGAAACTATGGTGCAGTACTGTGTAGATAGAGCAGGGGGCAGTATTGGACCAATACAAGGCTCCGTTGACTGCCATTATATGATTTTAAACATTAATAT